GACTTTTTTTTAAGGAACAGCACTTTGTAGACAAGAAGGCACAGCTGAATCCTGGAAAGAGATCTGCATGGTGGACTTCAGTGAAGACCTTAGAATTCAGCTGGGAGACTGCTGGCAGTGGGAAAGAGAGCCATTCTGGATGACTTGGCAACCAGAGACAGCTGAGTCTGAAAGCCATCCAAGTATGCTATTTAAACCAGAGGCTGACTACTAGGGCTGTGCAAAGCTTCAGGTGGTGATTCAATTTGGAAGAGATTCAGCCCAATTTGGTGGTCGAATCTCTGAATCGAATCAGGGGACCAATTTAAAGATCCGAATCGATTCAAAGCTCTCTGAATCTTCAGCAAAGATTTGGAGAGCTTTGATTCGGGCAGTCCCCAATGGCTGCAGCAGGGAGCTGCAGCCACTCTGAGCTCGTAAGTACTAGGGGAGGGGGCAGGGGACCGTGGGGGGACCCCTGCCAGCCCCCCCATGGCTGCCCCACCTGCCCCAGTTCCAGGTGCTTTAAAAAAAAGCCCTGGTCCTCAGTGGGTGCTGCTGGGCGGGGTCACACTGCATGGGGAGCTCTGCATGAGTCCCATCAACTTCCCCCAGCCCCCCCACAGCTGACCCGCCTGCTGGAGCTCTTGCCCTTTAAGGAGAAAGAAGAAAAAAAAAAAAAAAGCATAGAAAAGCCCTGAGACACACTGCTCCTGGTGCGGCCTTGGGGCTTCAGGGGCTCCTGCAGAGCCCCCCACGTGGCACAGGGATCACCCCTGTCCTAAGCAGCAGTGTGTCCTGGGGTTTCTTCAGGTTTTTTTTTTCTTAAAGGGCTGGAGCTGGCCCGGGCGGGGCACCCATGCAGTGACTGGGGGAGTGGGGAGAGGTTCAGGGGCTCTGCACGCAATGGGGGGCAGCAGGGGTTGCCCCCTGCCCAGCAGCACCTGCTGAGCCAGGGCTTTTTTCCCCCACCAAGTGCTGGGAGCTGGGCTGGGCGGGGCAGCCATTGCTGGCCTGGGAGGGGGCAGTGGATGGGTTTGGCCTGGCTGATTTGGAGATTCAGCTGCTGCTGAATCTCCGAATCATATTCAGCTGAATCAAATCAGGACAGTGATTCAAATCCTCAAATCGAATCACTGTCATCCGAATCCGAAGCAGATACTAGCTGCTTTGCACAGGCCTACTGACTACACAGTCTATGAAAGTCCTCAGCCAGAGGCTTGATTGTAGGTTATATATGATCAAATCTGTGTTGAATCTCAGCCTACTGGGCCAGTGGTCCTGAAATTCCCCAAAGGCTCCCGTAAACTGTGGTTTTCCTGTAAGAGTTCCCAGTTTGGGAATCCTTGCTCTCAAGTTTCTAAAAATAAAGCAGTCAAGAGTAACTTCTGAATGACTTACCGGTGGGCCAAAAATTGAGGTATGCCCCGCCCCCTTTTTTGTTTATAAAGGGATAAAGATGGTCTTACAGGTGACCATGTTTTAGACCTCTTTTCCTGCCTTAGAAACATTAGATATTTGTATGTGTATATTTTACATACGCATGCATAGGGACACTCAAAAGGGTCAGATGATTAACTGGTATAAATCCATAGACCTCTGCAGAGTTGCAGAAACTTATGATCTAGTTTACAGTCTTTTGAAATAGTGATATCCATCCCAAAAAGCTGCACAGAGATTAGCAAATGTGACAGGTTGCCATCCAACTAATTTTGCAGCATTGTATTGGAGCTTTGCCCTTTGAGAGCCCGTGGCATGATGTTTTCAGACCATGTGTTACAAAATCTGGTTGGATAAAAAGTTAAGGACAATCCTGCCCCTATTGCTTTGGTTCTCTGTGGGATGGGTACTAGCTGTGAGTTGGAGGGGACTCTTGGCTCTCTGCTTTGCTCTACAGAAGTCAGTGGGAGTTAAACGTATGCAGCAGGAGCCAGCTTGCAATGGGGGATTCAGCTAATATAAGCTAATGACTTTTTAATGGCTCCTCTTCAAGAGATGGATGCTGAGAACTTGCAGCTCTCCTTAACTTGTTGAACTGCTGGGCTCTCAGCCCCTCCAGTGACCTAAATGACAAGTGACCTGCCAATGCAAAGCTGTATCACCTGCATTGCAAGTACTAGTCTTGAAACAGCTGAAGGACTTGGTTGGGTCTATTGAAATCCAATGCAAAGGTGCTCAAAGCCCCTGGCTTGTGGAGCCATCACATCTGGACTGCAGGGCTCCACATGGATTGGGAAATTTGGTGGCAGGGGAGTAATAGCAGTTAATACTGCCACCTCTCTCCTGCTGCCAGATTCCCAAGCCCCACGTAGCTGGGTCAGGGCTGGGCCTTGCCCCCTTCCTCCCATGTCATGGATGGAGCTAGGATGCTCCACTGCCCCCCTCCACATAGCTGAATTTGGTCCCGCCACACCCACCCTGGCCAGATCCAGCACACAGGTGAACTGGGCACCACCCATCTAGCCTGCAAGGCAAAAAGGTTGAGCACCACTGGTTTAATGGGTAAAGCCTGGAATGGGAGCCCAGAGACATGGGTTCTAGTTACTGACCTGCTATGCAACCTTGGCAGGTTAATTCCCTGCCTCAGTGTAACCCTTCATGTGCCTTGTTTATTTAGCCTGCAAGGTCTTTGAGCCAGGGACTAGTCCTCATGATGGGTGCCCAACCTTGATCCCAGCTTGAAGTCACTGGGCGCTATGGACATTCAAATAAGAAAAATAAGACCCATCTTCAAGCTCTTCAGTTGCAAATTCCTATCATTTTCAGGATGATGTTGTTATGGGCACAATGACAGTGAGGGAGAATCTGCTCTTCTCTGCAGCTCTGCGACTCCCCAGCACTATAAGCTTTAAAGAAAAGGAAGAGCGAGTTACACAGATTATCAGTGAGCTGGGGCTGAACAAAGTAGCTGATGTGAAGGTGAGTGCTTGAGAGGCCTGAGCTCCAGACCGAGCTGGAGAATCCAGAACCCAGACTCCTTGCCCGTGTATGGTTGATTGGCCCTATACCATAGTAGGAATGCAGGGTTTCTCTGATGAGCCTTTCTGAGTTCAGCAGCTAGAACCCTGCTCTGAGGTGCAGAGTTAATTGTGTTGATCTGCTTGGAAGCTGGTTCAGCTGCATCCTATTGGCACAAGCCCTGGAGTGTACAAGTTAGAGAACAGCTCTGGGGTTGAGGGAAGTGAAGAACGTATTGGGGGCTGAGGGAAACAGTTAAGTGATGGAGGTAGCAAAAGCTGAGGTTTATGTTTTGATCATAGGAAGGGGGAATGCATGGACCATGTCTACTGTGAATGTGCTGAGTAGAATAGGATGAGACTAACAGTGCACCAACTCGTAGGGCTTTTCCATTTGACCGATTGCTTCCTGGCTTTGTGCTACAGTTGAGCAAATTTGGGTCAAAGTCTGTGAGAGGGCAGAAAGGTCTAGGGATAGAAACCCCAGATGTGGGGCAATTGTCCCTCCTGTTCTATGCAAGTCTCTTAAACCTTGCTATCTCTATGAATATCCATGCCCTCTCAGGGGCAAAGCCATGGGACTTGCCTCCAAACCTGGCAGAGCCAGGAAGATCCTTGGAAGGTGAGAGCCTTCTGGGCAGTCTCTGTGCTTCCAAACTGGCTCTGGTACCTAGCAGCTCTATCCTTGATTCAGTATGAGGTGCTGGTGCTCAGCAGTCCTGAAAACCAGGCGTCCTTTGATCAGGAGAATCACTGTGGGCATTAAGATTTGAAAATCTGGTCCTTGTCTCCATCTGACTGCTGTGTCCACTGTGTCCATTGAGGGTGCTCTCCACCACACCCTGGTGGACAGAGTGTACCTGACATGGTCAGGTCCCTTGAAATTAATGGGGGGGTGGGGGACTGCAGATGTCTGCCAGGCTTAATGCACACAACGTAGCCAACTCAAGACTCTCTGCTGTAGGTAGGAACTGAACTAATCCGAGGCGTGTCAGGTGGGGAGCGGAAGAGAACCAACATCGGGATGGAACTCATTACGGAGCCACCAGTCCTTTTTCTGGATGAACCAACCACTGGCCTGGACTCCAGCACGGCCAACGCTGTACTCATCCTCTTAAAGAAGTAAGGGTTGGCTACACAGGAGTTGGCTGTGATTTTTGTTTCAGTTAATTCATGATAAAAGACAACACTCCTATGCACAACAAAAACCACCATTTATGTGGATTTAATGCTGGTAAAAGAGGCTGGCCTGACAGACCAGAGACTGACATCTTCTCTTTTCCTGGGGCTTGATCCAGAAACTTTTGAAGTCAGTGGGCTTTTTCATGGATGACTCTAAGCTCTGGTTCAAAGCCTTAAAGAATGGGGCAGCATGGACAACCACCGCAATAGCTTCTTGCTGCTACCAATGCCTCCCTGCTCTGCCTTGCAAAAGTCAGCTTGGTGGGTGGGTGTTGGATTTGGGAGTCCAGTTCTCAGGGGCTGATTATTTCTTGGTCATTCAGCTAAGCCTGCCATTAAGGACCTCCCTACTAGGGCTGTGCGAAGCTTTGGTCCCTGATTTGATTTCGCCTGATTCCATGGCCGAATCTCCAAATCCAAATCGAATCAGAGGACCCTTTAATCTCTCTAACTCAAATTGGAACCCTCCAAACCGATTCGGACATAGAGACAGCTTTAAATGTTTTTTCTACGTACCTCTAGGCAGCAGGGGCTCGTGAACACTTTGATATTGGGGCTCATGGAGCATCCCACAGAAGCATGGGAGCTCCCCAGTGCATTCAGCAGCAGACCCAGAAATGGACCAGAAGCATTTCCGGGTCTGCTGGGGAGCGTGCCGGGGGGCTCCCCCGTGACAGCCCGGCTCAGTGACTGGTGCCTCCTGGGTCCAGGGGAGGCACCTGGGGTCCCCCTACAGCTGATTGCCAAGCCATGAGGGTACTGGGGGGGGCAGCGGAAAGCATGCTCCCTGGCAGACCCAGAAGTGGACTAGAATTACTTCTGGCCTGCTTCCAGGTTCACCACTGAGCACATGGACGGCCCCCCCAGCACTCCTGTGGGAGACTTCATGTGCTCCAGCATCACCGTGATCACGAGCCGCGCTGGTACCTCGAGGTATGTAGAAAAAACTTTTAAAGCTGTGTCTATGTCCAAATCGCCGATTCTCTGAATCGGCATTGAATCTTCAGATTCGGATTTGGCCAAATCAAATCAGGGACAGCGATCCAAATCAACGAATGAAATCACTGTCCCTGATTCGGGCCGAATCCAAATAGAATATGGCCCATTTCACACATCCATACTCCCTACATTAGGTACATGAACCATGGCTGAGAGAGGATTTCATCCATAGGTTTTCCTCTTGTGGCTGAGGCTGCAGATAAACTGATTGGCTCTGACTATCCCATCCAGCTGTTTCCAGTAACCATTCCTGAGGCATTTCTCTTACTATTTGAGGTGGCTCTCTCCCTCCCTCTAATGTTTGCAGCCTACTGGCTAAGTGTTATAGGGAAAGCTTTATTCTGTTGTTCCCATTCTATCACTATTTGGTGGGAGAAAAGTCTTCACTGTATAGGGCCACCAGTGGGCATCAACTAACAGAAAAATATAATGAAACAACAGCCAGGAAACATAAAGGAAAGCAAGGTGATACTGGTTGGTTTGACCTCTGTAAAGAACAAAACTCAGTACAAGAACTAAGAAAAATCCACCTGAATGGCCAGATCCTCAGTTAACATAAGCCTATGTAATGCTGTTGATTCTAGTAGAACTACTCCGATTAGACTAGCTGAAGTCTTGATACCTTGTCTACTGGGGGATTTATTTACTCCAGAATTTTCTTTCTTAGCTCCTGTCAAGTTACAGCAGATTAGATTATTTGGTTGTTTGGCATGGGACCACCACAGCTCTTTGGGATTACTGAACTCTTCTTAAACATGACATAGGTATACATTTGAGGCCTGGAATATTTCCTTGCATTGCAGACTTTCAAGAAGAGGTCGAACCATCATTTTCTCTATCCACCAACCTCGTTACTCCATATTCAAGCTTTTTGACAGTCTGACACTGCTAGCATTAGGAAAGGTGCTGTATCACGGGCCAGCTCAGCAAGCACTGGAGTATTTTCGTTCTGTGGGTAAGTCTAACATGCAGGTGAATCCATGATCATCACTGTTGTATTTTAATTGTTTTGGCTCAGAATAGGGAAGAGATCAGTTAATAAGCTCATTTAAATTAATTCCTCTTCATGATACTTGCTGGTGATGGACTAACTCTAGCCCTGTTCAATTGAATTCTGTACTTTTCAGATACTAAGAGCAGCCATGTGCAGCTAGTCTAACTTTTATGTTATTTAAACAGAAAACAAGAAGGTAAAAAATTAATGTCTTGTATGACAGCACAGTGCATCTACAGGGATTGCCACATCCACTCTGCCTGACACAGTGATGGCAGACAGCACAATCTGAGACATTTAGATGTGCAGTCCACAGAAAGCAAGCTTCTAGCAGTTATGTAGCTGTGCACATCTCACATAGTATAATCTTGGTGTAGAGTGATTTGCAGACCACCTGAGATCTGTAGAGATGAATCCAGTGCTTCCCAGATCTGAAGTTAGCTGAGACAGATGGAGACAGAGAGGGCAGATCATATATGTATTTTTTTTAGATTAGAGATTGTGAGAAATACTGCAATTGCCTGTGAGCCATTTGGCAGGTAATGACAACAGGGTTTGCATGGTTTCTCTTGATTTATGGGGAGGAGTATGGAACAGACTCCTGGATTCTGTTTTCAGTGTTACCGCTGACCTGCTAGATGGTATCTTTGTACTCTGCTTTGCCACTTTTGCTGTCCTGTGTGCCCCTTGCAGTGGGTGGGGGAGGCGAGGGGAGGGGGAATCATTGATTCATAGATTGTAAGGAGTTGGAAGGGACTTCACAAGATCATTGGGTCCAGCCCCACTGCACTAGGCAGGAAAGATAACAGGGACCAGGTGACCCCAGCAATGGGGACGTCCAGTTTCCTCTTGAAGATGTCCAGGGTAGGTGATTGCACCACCTCTGGAGGGAACTTATTCCACAGTCTGGACACTGGGGATGGGAAGTCAGCCGGGCTGACTTCCCATCCCCAGTGCTAGATTGCACTGGGGGCGGGAGGAAGCCCAGCTGGGCTGCTATCCCATGCCACACACTACATCGCGCCAGGGGCGGGAGGCACGATGTAGTGCAGGGGATGGGGCAGCAACCCAGCTGGGCTGCCTCATCACCCCCTGCTGGATCTTGTGCTGGGAATGGGAAGTCAGCCCAGCTGTACTGACTTCCCATCCCCAGCCTGTTGTCGAAAAGTTTCGGCTTTCGAAATGTTTCAACCAGCCTGGTTTTGTTTCAAGGCTATTTCAACGGCCTTTGTTTCATTCCGATTTTGCTGTTTCAACCTTGAAATTGGTTGAAACTGCCAGTAAAATTTTGCACAGCCCTATTATCTAGTATGATTTTCCTTTTAGTCAAGTGAAATACTGAAACAAAATAACCATTCAGGAATTCAGTTTTGTCCTGAGTGTTGGCAACCAGCTGTCCTGAGTTGTGAAGCAATGGCCCCATGCTTCCATTTGTTTTCCTTCTGTTCCCTATATACCTAAAGGACTACTTATTGTCATTGATTTCTATTGCTAGTTTAAATTCAGTCACCACCTTAGCCTTTCTAATCTGCTCCCTACGAGTACAGACAGTTGTTGTATAGTCCTCTTTGGCGACTGTTCTGAAATTCCATTGTTTGTATGCAACTTTCTTCTTTTTCAAGAGGACCATGATATCCCTATTAAGCAAAGAGGGCTTTCCAGCCCTTCTGCTACCTTTCCTCCTCGTGGGAATGGACTTCCTATTAGGCCTGTGCAAAATATTGCCAACTGTTTCACTTTGATGCTGTTTCAACTTGTTTTGTGCTCAAAACAGCGAAATTGAAATGAAACTAAGAGCTTCGAAACAGCCTCAAAACAAAACGAGGGCAGTCGAAATATTTCGAGTTTCAAAGCTGAAGCTGAGCTTGCCTGCAGGGAAACAAAGTAAGGAGAGGGAGGGGGAAGAGTGGGAAAGGCCTGCTCTCATATTGACTGCATAACTGGCCAGTGACTAATCCTTCCCTGAGGACCATTCCAATCCCAGTGCTCTTGGGGAGGGATAGAAAAACAGCATAAAAAGCAGCATTGTCTGAACTGGGCCACTTTCTGCCTTGGGCCAGTTACTGAGCTGTCTTTCAGCAGCGTCAGACAACAAAGGCTATACCATTCATTTCCTACTTGCAAGTGGGATTTGCTTTCTATACCCTTTTATTTTATTATTATATTAATTGATTCCTTTCAATTTATTCCTCCCGCAAAATCCTTTTTGTTTTTATTAGTCTATTTTGATTCTTTTCAAATCTGTGCTTTCTCTCACAGTGTGCATTCCATTCACTGTGCAGGGAAGCACAGCACAATTATATTGAATATTATAATATAGAATTTATATAGGAACTCATATATATGTTTATATATTTTTATTATATTTATTACATACATACATGGATACAATTATCAGATAACATTACAGAAGAAGACAGATTTTCCAGCACACCAAGGCAAAGAAACACACCATGAAGCGTGCTGGAAAGGCAGCTGGCAAGCTTTCAGGGAGGGATGGAAGAGGGGGTAGAGGGAGAGCTGTAAGTCTCTTTTCCTCCCCCCCCTTCCTCAACTGAGACACAGGCTCTTTGCTACAACAAGCAGGCATGAGGCTTCCACTAGTTGTACAGGCAGCAAGGAGAGAGGAGCAGTGCCAGTACCGCTGCCTGTGCCTGAGTCTGCATCCCCTCCAAGAACACCAGCCATAACCCCCCACCCCCACACCACCATGACAACAAGCAGCAGCACCAGCGTAACAGTCTCGTCCACCCCCATTTCACTTCCTATGCTGAGCCTTCCAGTGCCAGAGGAAGAGTTGGAGCTGGATCTGGATGAGTGCCATAGCAAGGGAAATTCTGGGGAAGAAGGGAGAATCATCTGAGTTTGTGCTCCATACCTCTTAAGCTTCTCCTAGAACTAGGTCTCCTTCCCCAGAAGGTACTTCAGAGGAGGTTGAGATAGAGGGTGCGAAGGCAAGTGGCTCAGCTGAGTCCGCTCCTCCTGTTACCATGCTTCTGCCTCCTAAAGGGGGAGAAATTGCAACATGCACCCACACCCCAGAAGCGAGCAGGTAGTGTAGTCTGAGATCATTTTGAGCTGGCAGATGATCCCACATATGCTATCTGCCTGCACTGCTGAGCCAAAATCAGCCAGGGCAAGGGAACAGAACATATGAGAACCATGGGGATGCTGACGCATCATTGCAGGCACCACCCCCTTGCTCTTGCTCCTCCTAAGCCTGGCACCAGTGGGAGGATTCCCAAAAAGAAGTCCCCCTCTCACTCCAAAGCCCCCATCCCCACAAAGCAGAGGCAGACCACCCTGGAACAGTGGGGGAAAGGTGGACAGAAAGGGGGGCGCGTTGCAAAGGCAACTGAGATCCCCCAGAGTACTGGGGAGATTCTTGCTGTGAATGGCCAGCCCTTCTCCTAAGTTGAGTGTCCAGGGTTCAGGCAGTTCATGGTGCTTGTGGCCCCATCCTACCAAGTGCCCACATGTACCACCTTCAGCGGGACTATGGTGCCCTCCCTGTATGAGGTGTCACAACCCAAAGTTGTGATTTTTGTTTTTGTGTGTGCTTTGGCACCACTGAATTGTTTTCCCGCTAAATTACAGCTTCTTTGCACGGTGGAGTTTTCTGCTGCAGAAGAGAACCCCGGTGCAACGGAGTATTCCTGCCAAATTTGTAGCTTTCTTTGCATGGTGCATTTCTTTTGCATCTAAGAAATGCTTGGTGCAAAGAGTTCCCACCCTTTGTATTCTAATTTGAGCCCCATTATTGGCCGATTCTAATACATGCACATGTGGCGGCTAGCAATTGGCTTGCTAGCCATATAAAGAGCTTGGGTGGTTTCCGCCCAAGTTGGAGAGAGAGCAATTGGAGTTCAAGAGGGAGAGCGTGAAGATCTCTAAGTGCTGTGGATCCTTACGGACCCAACGCTTTTCTTAAAGGGAATAGAGGCCTGATAACCGAACCCGCGGAGCTTCAGCAACTCCGGGGAAAAGAACGAACAGCCTCTAGCCTCTCCCCGTCGCCGATAAATTCCTAGACGTATCCCTTCCTGTACGAGAAACTACCGAACCCACGGAGTTTCAGTAACTCCGGGGCAAAGAAACTACCAAACCCGCGGAGCTTCAACAACTCTGGGGCAAAGAATGAATTGTCGTAGTCCTCTAACGAGGATTTAAGCGGAGCTGAACCTGGAAACTGTCCAGCCTACACCACGACCATCTTTGGTGTAAGTAAACAATCCTTATATCAACCATTATGCGTCCGTGACTAATTCTAGCTCGCCACCGGTCCTCTCCGACCCCGCGTGCCCGGACTGCTGGCTACAGCCCGCGTGCGCAAAGACGGGTCCGCATATCGTTCCTGGCCCGCACATGGCGACATGGATGGGATCGGGAGGCGGCCTGCACATGAGGCATGCAGGGAGTACTTTAGGGAGGAGCTGTACAAGGCAGATCCGCAGGTGGCCTTGCTCTTCACCTCGGACATCTGGAGCAGCCGGGGTGGAGATCATGCCTACCTCTCCCTCACACGGCACTGGTGCGACCAATCAGGCTATCAGTGGACTCTCCTTCAAGCTGAGGTGATGGATGAGTCCCACACAGCAATGGAGATCATGGGGACCATGAACTGCTTAGTGCAGGGGTGGCCCATTGGGCAGGGCGAGCTCACCCGCGGGTTCAACCGTCACCAACAATAGGGCCAATATGGTCAAGGCGGTCCATGATGTCAACTTGGTTGGTATCTACTGTGTGGCACACAAGTTCCACCTCATTGTCAGGGACACCTTGGAGGGGGAGAGGGCTTCCAGTGATGGTGCCAGCACCACCAGCAAGCTCATTTCAAAATGCAGGAAGGTGGCAGGCTACTTCCACCGGAGCGTCAAGTGGGGCAAGATGCTACGGGACAAACGGGCAGAGCTGAGCATCCTGCAGCACAAAATCATGCAGGATGTGGACACTCGGTGGAACTCCACATACCTGATGTTCAAAAGGCTGGTGGAGCAACAGAAGGCCATCCATGAGATGGCCTTACTCGGGGAGATTGGGGTCAGTGTCCCTCTTAACAGAGCTGAGTGGGATACCATCTCTCACATCTTGGTCATCCTCAAGCCCTTCCTTGAGGCTGCCGAGACCCACAGCACTGCCGATGCCCTCCTTAGCCAGATGATCCCTGTAGTGAGGGAACTTCAGAGCCAAATGGAGAACTTCCAGGAGATCAGAGTTCCTGATTGGGGCAAGCCGCTGTCACCAGATGTGCAGACACTGATGAGGCGGCTGAAGGAAGGCATCAGGAAACTCGGCTATAGTCAATGAGAGCTAGGAGTGCTGAGCATTTCTGAAAGTAAATGCCCAGGGCTAAGCACCCAAATCAGGATAGACTTTTTTCTAAATGTTGGATTTGAACTAAAGCGTGTGCCTAAGTTTTCCCACCTGAACAATAATGACTTAACTTTCCTTCCCAGAAGCATTGCTGTTGCTGGTTAAAGTGTGTAAAGTGACCAAAGGTCCATGTAAAAAAAGCATCCTGGAAAAGCAATGTATTTTTCCAGTAATTCTCAACCAAGGTGTCACAGATCCTTTTAAGGGTGCAAGGTGCCATGTAATGTTAGCACTGTTAGGTGTGCAAACACCTACATGTGATTCACAAGGTAAACAGATTTCAAATAGAAATCCATAGTATCATGACCATTCTGACCTATTGTGATCTTTCTGGGTTCTTTGCATCAGTAGAATTGAAGATTGCTCTGTTGTTTTTTTGATTAAGGAAAAAACAAATGAAAGCTAAGAGCTGGCATTTTCCAAGGGGGCCTTAAATATGAGATCAGGAGCCACTGTATTATTCTAACCACTCCTCCCTAAGAAACTGTCTCTCTAAAATGCAAATGTGTTCTTCTTGCTATTGTAAAAGGGTATGAATGCGAACCCTTCAACAATCCAGCTGACTTCTTCCTTGACGTGATTAATGGTGACTCCACTGCTGTGGCAGCAAGCAAAAGTGACTGCAGAATCACAGAGTATGGTGAGACCCAAACAGGTAAGACTGGAAACAAGAAATAAATCGTTGGCTGAACTATAGGGGAAGTTCTAAGAAATGACAATAAATTTTGATTTTTGTTTGTCTCTAGTGGGTTATGGAATAGAGAAGATCCCACACAACTTACTGATTCGTTTGATGCACTGGTTGGGGAAATTTTTAGCTACTTGCACGATTTCACAATGATTGCACACTTAATTCATACAACACAATTTTTATTTTTAAATTCTTTGCTACACATATAACACTGCTTAGCTTTAAGAAATACCACAAACATTAAGAACACAATAACTACATATATCAGAAACAATGCTCCAAATGCACTTCCTTCCCAAACAATGTTATAAGAATTAGTATTACAAAAACAACTACAATTACAACTAAAAGTTAAATTTGAATCAATACTATTATTTTTCATAATATACTTACAATCCTAGAATTCCGAGAATCCAAACACCTAGATATGGTTTCATTCCTCAGTAGTACAATTTAATGGGTTGGCCTCAGTAGTACGGTTCAATGGGCTGGCCTCAGCAGTTCAATGGGCTCGCCTCAATACTGATAGGACTAAGTCCCCTTCCTTCAGTCCCTTTCGGGTGCTCTGTGGCTTCAGTGTGAACTAAGAGATTCGTGTTCACGGAGAGGGTGGTTCAGGTGATCAGTCTGATCCAGCCTACACTTGCGATTCTTCCTTCGTTGTTCTGCAAGTGAGGTTACCTCCAAATTGGGACAGTAGGTTACAGTTTTTATTGAGTGAGTTGCCGTCTTGGGCCCCTCCTACGCAAACCTGTCACTACTCCCAAATTTGGGCTCAGATCTTACTCAACAGATTCTTTTGCTTGGTAATCAGTTTATTTTCTTGACCATTTTAATTACTTTGGGGAATTTCCATATCACTGAATTTACTTTTATTTCTAATCTTTTAAAAGGCTCCTAGGGTTTGATTTCTCGGAATGTGGGATGTTTGCTTAAGGGTCATTTTTAGGTTAACTTTGTTAAAGGCCTCTAAAGATAAAATTCAAGAGTTAAGACTGAGCAAAGTCAGGACCTTCCGCACGTAGGCCAAAACAATGGCCTAGATAAGAAGATAAATCTTGTCTTCTTCCTAAACTGGCTAATGGGGAACTATTACAAACATTCAAATATTACATTCAATATGACGTTGTTTTTCTCCCAGTAAGTGACTGCGTAGTTGGGGGGTTTTTTAATTGCAGCACCTTCTCGCAGAATCTTAAAATGCTCTTAAAAAGTGACTAGATATTCATAGGTTGTTAGGGGCTGGAAGGGACCTTGCAGATCATCATGTCTAGCCCCCCCGCTCTAGGCAGGAAGACAACTGGGGTGCCCTAGTGAACAGTTGTTCACCAAGCTCCTGATGCATTCCTCTGATATAACGGCACACTGCTATCAAGTCCCCTCGCAACCTTCTCTTCTTTAGGCTAAAGAGGTGTTGACAGCCTGACCTGCACCATGGCTGAAAGGGACCTAGGGGTAATGACTGACCATCACATGAATATATTATTAACCTTGTTTTACAGAAGGAGAAACTGAGGCTCATACAGAGGTGAAGTGATTTGTTAAAGGTCACACAAGATGTCACTGGCAGAGGCAAGACACCCTCTCCCAGGGCAGCATTTTAATCCCCAAAATGCCAGAGTCCATTAGAGACTGCTATTTGTTACTCATTTACACAGAGAGAACTGAGCTTCTATGGAGGTAAATCAGAATATGGAGCCCCCAAACAAACACTCGTAAACAGGACCCATGACTGCTGACTCCCAGTCCTGTGCTCTGTGCATTACAAAATACTGGCCTGAACCCTATGCCTCCAGGGATCTGCCTAAATGTAAATAAAACACTACTCAATTTGCTTAAGCCACACGATCTTTAATGTACTCCTGCTAGCTAGTGTGAGCAGTCACTTTGCAGGACCAGCCAACCTTCCTGTGACTGTATTCTAGGCACATGGGCTAGGGACAGGCATTCAAAAAGCCTGAGCCTGAATTGATTCAATGTTCGCAGGTTAGTCTAACCTGGCTAGGTTAAATCAGTTTTGTAACCAGACAGACATCCCAGAAATGCAGGTACATGCCTGCAGTGGCTCAGACTAGAAGCTGGGGGGGTGCTAGAGCAGCCCTTCCTTCCCTTCCACAGTGCTGAGCTGAGGCGCATGGCCAGGCCTGGGCAGGATGCTGTGATTAGGGAGGGGCCCCCTCAGCTCTGTTACCAGCATTTAGCACCCCATCAGAAAACAAAGCCTCACTCATTACAAGCTCTTCATAAACAGCTTTTTTCCAAAGCAAGGAATGCAGGGACATTACCATCTGAGCTGTTGATTACCTCCAAAAAGCCCTAAGTGGACACTGTCCTATCTGCCTTACACAGCATTAGCTAGCATACTGGCTACAGTCTGTGCTGTGGGAGAGAGGAAGAAAGGATCTCTGTGTAAGCACTGAGTGGTGAGGGGGGCATGGGAAAGCCAGCAGACCCTGCTGTGCTTGCAAGTCTCTACTGGAGCTCTGCCCAGGGAGCAGAGGGGAGGGGCCAGCCCTGCTGTGGAGCAGAGAGCCCCACCCAGCCCAGAGAGAATGCCAAGACGCTGGGGGAGTCTGATTTATCTTAAACCAGCAAAGACTCTGGGACAGACATTGCATAAACTGGTTTGACCAAAATCAGTTAAGTCTGAATGTATCTCAAGCTGGTTTCAGCCATTTTCAAACTGGTTTATGTGCACTGAATATCTGTTCAGTTACAGGTTTAAACCAGTTTCTGATCACTTAAACCGGTTTATGTGTAGTGTCTGTCCCTAGCCATGGAACCTGGAGCAAAATCTATTGATCCCAAAGCCAGTTCAGCTAAACGTGTCAAGAGGTTTTTGTGGCCTGGAATTACATTGGTGAGATTTCACTGCCACAGTCAGTCTGTACTACAAAAAGGGGGACACAGGGAGTTCTTAACTTAGGTTAACTAACCTATGTTAGAATTGCAAGGAAGACAGTGTAACCTGAGTTTTAACTTAGGCTGCCTGCTTGAGCTCAATCTAAGGGTCGTCTTTAGGCTTGAACCTGGGCTGCTAACTTCAGTTAAACAGCCAAGTTACCTTGTCTTCATGGCTATACGGGGGGTGGATAGACACACACCTACCCTGGGATGGATGTACACAGCCAAAATCTAAGGCTGTGCAGCTTTCTCCAGTCGAGCTGAGTCTGTCAAGAGTAATTTTTCACTGGATGAGGTAAAATTACCTTAATTTAGTGATTTGTATAGTCTTCCTGTGAGCTTTTACACTGATAGAAGACATAGTAGAGATACACAAGGTTATGCTGATGTAATGCTTATACCCAGGTGTAAAGGTTTCATCTGTCCATGCCCTCAGGTTTAAGGTTGCAGTATGGACAAATCCAGTGTGACCGCTGAGGGCACTGACAGAAGTAGGGGGAAAAAATGCACTCTACCAGAAGTAGCAACACATTGCTTTGGCCCAGCTCCACAGTGTTTGGATAGATCAGGCATTTCAGCAGGGCTTTTTGACACTTTTAACTAAAGCTGATTCAATCAGCTATTGGATAAAGGTGCCAAAAAGCCTCACTAAAGCACCCAGTCTTTACAGGCGTTAAGAAAGCAGAAGCTGGGTGCAACTAATGCACTGCCTCTTCTGGGCATGCACAAGAGCGTGCTGAGGTTAAAATAAAGCCCTGTTTTGTTTTGTTTTTTTCTACATCTGCCTATGTGGTTGTGTTGTTTGTTTGGATATTATATATTGAAAGTGTTTCTTTAGGTGGGTTTTGATCTGGCAGGGAAAGGTTAATGGTTGGATTGCAGAGGGGCTGGGTGTAGCCTGACTAGTTGCACTCTGCCCTCCAGATGGCTCTAGGAAAAACTCCTTTCTTAAGAATGCCAACTCTTTCTAAAAGCTGAGGAGTGGGGGTATATAAACTAGGGAGCTGGAATACACGTGTACCTGTGAGTGCCTGCAAGTGTGTGTATGTTAAGTGCCTATCAGCCTGCTTAAGTCCACAAAAGCCTACAGGTAAAGTAAAAACAAAAAGAGTCTATCACATGGGGACTGCAACGAAAAAGCCTGAAACAGAGAGAACCTGCAGAGGGTAACAGTGAAGCCAAAACCTCTGAAAACAATGAATTCATTGCAGAGATAATTAAAATTCCTGTGTACCACTGGAACCAGCTGTAGGCTGTAAAGTAAGCTCTAACCAAGGGTGAAATTAAAGTGTTAAGAGACGAGGGCTAGGGACAGAAATTACAGATAAACTGGTATAAGTGATTGGAAACTGGTTCAAATCTGTAACGCAACAGAAGTTCAATGCACATAAACTGCTTTCAAAATGGCCAAAACCAGTTTAAGGTAAACCTGGATGGATGTAGTATCAGACTTAACTGATTTGGGTTAAATCGGTTTATTGAACTTCTGTCCCAAATTCCCTCCAGCTCCAAGTTAATTCTCAGTCATCCCAGGATGTTTTGCACCTCCCCTACAAACACCCTTTGCATGTGGCTGCATTTCCAGAATCAAAAGTGAATGTCTGTTCACTTCCTTATTGGTTCAATCTACACAGTTTAAACTAACTCTACGAAGATTGAATCAATTCAGCCTTGGGCTTTTTGACTGTCTGTACTTAGCCAAGGTGTTTTAAACCTGTCTGTTATGTTCTTTCTTCTTTAGTTCCATTATAATGTTTTTTCCTAATTATTAAAGTTAGGCATTTTGATCCCCGAATTTAACTATCCTGTAATTATCTCACCTCACACAGTTTGTACCCTCACGGCCTTGGCCAACTCAGGGTCTGGTAACATCCGGTGAGCCTTGTTTATTAAGGGAAATTGGACAGGCCATAACAAGCCCTGTCTTGGATGCATTCCTTCAGGGATAAATGGTGAAAATGAAGTAGCAGAAGAGAATGTGGACAGGACTGTGGTGGACACACTGCACCAGGAGTATCTGAACTCCAGCCTGTACTGCAACATGAGGGATACGCTGGAGAAAGTGGAGCTTAGCCTGGGGAATAAGAGGAGGAAGCTGAGGCAAGTGAACCAGATCACGTATGCAAATGGATTCTTCACCCAGCTGCATTGGGTCTCCAAGCGTTCCCTGAAGAATCTCATCAGGAATCCTCAGGCATCTGTCGCACAGGTAAGAAACTGGAACTAAAAGCATAGGGCTTCTTACTGTGGGATCTCCAGGTCACTGGTTTGATCCTGCTGAGGTCCAGAAATCATTGCTACTTTATGTGGTGACTGATATGAAACCACAGGTCTAGCTGGACTGTCTGGTGGACTGAGTGGTTGGTAACCAACAAAAACTCTCCACCCAAGTAAGGGGAATGCAGATGCTCACTGGGGTGCCTCTGAAGTAGAATTGCTTCAGCTGGGGTAAAACACATTAAACAGTGCCCCTTGTTCAGGGCTGTGACAGAAAGCAGGATTTAACCTTCAACAAATGAGCAATATGTGGATTCCCGTCCAGCAGAGACAAGACATTAGACTCTTCTTTCAAAAATACCTCTGGGATCTCCAAGGAGTTCTGAGGCCATGATCCTAAGCAGTGGAATTCCTTATGGCTCACTAGGCAGCCTTCTAAAAGGACACCTTCGGTCTGTTCAGTGCTACAGAACTGAAAGACTGCATATGTCCTCCTATTTACTGATATTTATCACGTCCCAGTCAACACAGGCCTGGCATTTTCCAGAGGCCAAAAGGAGTTGAGAATTAAAATTGAATGGATGCCTAACTGCTGCAGAGCCTTTGAAAATCCCAACCTCAGTTCCATGGAATGGCTATTAATGGTACAGGGAAGAATGTCTGGGGAAACTGGCCAAGCCTGTATTCCACTCTGGGTGTAGTGCAATGGATTCGGGATATGCAAGGATTTTTGCTGCCCTAGGCAAAAGCCTGGGCTCAACTGAGCATGCCCACTGCCTGTTCACCCAGAGCACTGCTTTTGTCTGCCTCCTACAATTTGTCACCCTAGCTGGCCACCTGTGCTGGTTATGTCAGTCCTGCTGTCTATTAGCTCTCTCTGCTCTGTTCAAGAAGAGCTAGTATTTGGGGGCACATTCTTGCTTTGTCTCACCTGGTCTTCCTTTGAAGGTTGCAAAAGGGTCAGCAGATAGAGAATTTGGCCTAGGGTTCTGTTTGTATTTAGATACCATCTCAAAACATCCAAGTCACTTGTGAACTTCAGACCCCATTCCCAGCATTAAAGACACATGATGCACGTGCTTTCTTTGGCTCTGTACCTTGTGCTCCTTGTGCTGTCTTTGGCTACCTGTCCCTGCTCATCCATACAAATGATCCCTTTTTTCTCTTTCCTCTTCCAGATCGCAGTGACCCTTGTACTAGCCTTGATAGTGGGTGCCATCTTTTTCGGAGTAAAGCTGAATCGAAGTGGCATTCAGAATCGGTAACCTTGGAAACCAGGTCTTGTTTATTTCCTGGTCAGTTGCTGCTGTGTTTCAGCAGCGGGGAGGATTTGGGGCTACATTCTGCTCCATGAAGGGTGAACGGGACTTGGAATTCCAAATTGCAGCCAGCAGTTGTATGCGCTGCTGGAGTTCCTGAATGCGCAGCTGTCCTTCAGGCCAGACACTTTTACAATCAGAATATGAAAGATCCCATAAAAGGCAGACATTGCTTTACCCAGTTAAGACCCAGCAGGTAAATATGTGATGCATCTTGTGTCAAGGAAATGTGCCCTGTCCTAACAGGAGGATGCCTATCAAATAGGCCCATGACCACTCTGGCTGCTGCATGAGTTTTCTGGTGGAGGGGATTTTAGACTTTAGTCTGTGCCTTATTTTTTTACTCTTAATTTGCATTTCAGGGTTGGATCCTTGTTTTTTGTAACCACAAACCAGTGCTTTTCCAGCGTTTCAGCAATTGAGCTGTTTATCAGAGACAAGAAATTGTTTGTGTAAGTCAGAAGCCTTTCTGCAAGAATGTCTTCACCAGGTGCGCGGCAGGCAGCATGAGGAATGCTGGCTAGGCTTTTGCCCAGGCTGTAGGTGTTCAAGCAGTAGGGGACACGACTTGTCTTCAGGGCTGCCGTGCCAGTGCTTCATAGAAGCAGTACAGTCACTTTCCAAGATTTCATCCCCAGTTGTTGTCCCCTTTAGTGATTGCATTAAAGTAAATTTGCATTGCTGCTCTGGTATAAAGGGGACTTAGTCTATCTTAACTGACCACAGGATAGAGAAGAGTTTGTTTAAGATTATGTCGTACCCGTTTTCAGTGACTGTCAGCATGTGCTGTAGTTACGGTTAGTGGTGACCCAGGCATCCCACTACTGAAACTAATCCACTTTACAAGGTGGAGTGAGGAGGCAAAGGTCTGCAATGATTCAGTTGCTACCTGGGTTGTATCTGAGTGGGCAACCTAGTGGCAGTCACCACAGCCCATTGAAAACAGATTTTATGAGGTAGTTGAGGAAGCTGTTGACTCCAGTAAGAATGTGTCTTTAGCCTTTCCTCTGCATAGTCTTCAAGACTAATCACTTCACTTGGTGAAAGCATTCCATTACTACTGGTACTTTTCCAGACTGCTAATACCTCCATAGTCTTTCCTTTATGGATCTCAAAGCATGTTATAAGCTTTAATAAAAGCCCTATTAGGGTCACCATCCTTACCCCAGTTCTACAGTTTGGGGAAACTAAATCACAGAGGGAATAAGAAACGTGCCTAGTGTTCGATAGCCAGGCACAGAGCTGGGAATAAACTCTAATTGCCCTGATTTTATACATACCATTAGAAAAGAAAAAAATGACACATTGCTGAACTTAATTCCTGTGGTTAACAATGAACCACAGTCAATGACCAGTGTTCCTGTCATCACAGCCATCAGTACACCAGTGGGTATTATCGTGTATCTGCATACTTCCTTGCCTTGATGATTGGAGATCTTGTGCCCATGAGAACTGCACCAGCCATCGTATTTTCCTGTATCAGCTACTGGATGATTGGTAAAGAATCAACATGGCCATTTAACCTGTCATTGTTTTTGAGCATTGTCCTGTCTAAGACCAATTGATGTTTTAGATCCGAGTCACCCATGGTTAATTTGTGTATCTACATGAAACACATGGTAGAAAGAAATGTTCCACCTATTAGGCAAACTCATGGACTTGGGCATCTATATGTCTCTACTCAAGTCCCTGAAACATAATTACAACAAAATATGGATACATCCTCCTGCTTTTTGTGACTTAGTCTGAGGGTGAAGATGATGCTGTTACAAAAGTAAGGGTATTCACAGTTTTCCAGTGACTTGAACAGGGTGGAACAAGATCATACTTTGTCACCTAATGTATGGCAGATCTGAATCTTAGTGTCTCAGGCCTCCAAGCATAGAATGAAATGTTAAATGAAGTCAGATAATTAGGAAAGATTTGTGGGGTGAAATCTAGCTGGTGGCATGCTATGGAAATGGCAGCACCAGCAGGAAGACAAGGGGCAGTTAGCATTACACTGCTCACTTGCTTCTTATCTTCTGAACTTGTGGCTGTCCCGCTTTTCCTTAGGAATACAGGCCTAGAAAGGATCTCCTGGGCTAGAGTCCAGTCCCCTAGTATTATGGGTCAGCACATTGTCATCTCATTTATAAACTGATAAGGTTTCACTTTTTTGAAGCAGTTAGGAAGCTTTTGTTCAGCTTCTACTACTCCATTACAACCAATGCTGGACCCTGTCTCTCACTGACACATGGCCTGTGCAGGGACCTGAGATCATCTCTGTGGGTTCTGTGATGTAGGCATCCTCTGAACCTCTGTCTTGCTGTTTTGACAGGCTATCAGGCAGTGGCAGGACGGTTCTTTTTCTTCATGCTGACACTGATGCTGGTATCATACACAGCCACAGCCATGTCTCTGGCTATCAGTGCTGGGATGGATGTGGTTGCCATTGCCAATCTGCTTATCACAATTTGCTTTGTCTTGATGCTTGTAAGTATTGTGCATGCTGCTTTGTTGGTAGTGGAAGAGGACCCATTTAAAGGAGGAGTTTGGATGGATTTAGTGCAAGGAGAAGTCAAGGATTAAGACTGGGCCAGAGCAAATCCTAGGGCAGGCAGGCTTTCTGCAGTGCCCGTTCCCTTAGTGCCGACAACACCGCTCATTGTTGGGTATGCAGATGGGTCTGCCCATGCACCTCAGCCCTCTTCTGAAACCAGTGACACTTTCACACATCTCCAGAGTCCAGGGCTAAGTGCTGTTGTCCCCTCTTTTCTCCTGTTACTAAGTGTGTGGTGCGGGGGAGGGGGGTGTGAATAGTAGTGGTGTGTTGGGCTCCAGAGCTGCTTGAAAGCAGGAGCTCTGTGCAGACTCCACATTGACCAGCCGGTGAGCTCAGAGCTCACAGCACCTGCAAGCTCTGGCAGGAGTATTGCTGATGTGGGTGAGCTCAGAGATCTCTGTGCATAAGGCACTCAGCCAAAGGGGGCTGTGACCATACTACTGTACCCCCCCCCCCATCTACCCCTGCTTTTACCCAATGGTGAAGTGTCCGTGTGTCCATACTCACATACAAAGAAGTAAGGTTTGCTTTAAAACTGTTACTCCAGTACAATACCTATTATGGATGCAGTTATCCTGGTCTAAAGGTGCCTTATATCAGCATAGCTTATTTCTGCATGGGAATAAAGTGCATAGGCAGTATAAAGTGCGTTTATACCTGCATAACTGCATCTGTGCTTTGGGAGGGAAGGGGATATGTGCCGTTTTAGTTAAACTGGTATAGCATCATTCTTGTGTGCAGGTGATAAGTGTGTCACTCCATTACAGTCCATTTCTTTCTGTTTCAGATCTTTTCTGGCCTTTTAGTGAACCTCCCATCTGTGATGGGATGGCTGAACTGGCTCAAGTACTTCAGCATCCCCCGATATGGCCTGACAGTGAGTAGAAAATAATGTTATTCTTTAAGGGATAAGATGCCCAATGGAGTCACTTCTGGAAGAAGACATATACAATTCTTTTGAAAGTTACTAATTAGGATTCTGTTTTAAAAAAATTAATTCTAAAAAAGTTTAAAAAATAGTTCCTTCCATTCCCAGAGAATGAACTGCTCCACTGGACCACAAAATAAGTATGTTGGTACCAGCAAGGGAAGGAGTTATCCTATACTGTGGACCATCAATAGGCCACACCCCTATCCAGGTCCTAAATAAACCTTCACTGTGGGTAAGAGGGCAGTTCAGTACCTTGTGGCAGAGCATGGGTCTCCAGAATCTCATTCCAGCTGCTGGCTATGTTTCTGACCACTAGACTGAGACACCAAACTCTTTCTTGAAGACTATCAAGTAACTTCTCAGAAAGCCATGACAAAGAGCTTCAAAGCAATCAGAGATTTGGAGTTTCTTAATTTTCAAGAACTCAGCTTGGGACCACTGAAAGAAGCTTGATATTTACAGTGATGGTGCTTAACATTTTCTAATACGAAGATCTCTTCAAGGGGTTTGCACATCTGTCATGCAAAATCATTACCCCTTCTTGAAAATCTAGGTCCATATCTTTTGGACACTACTTATAGTGGATTTAAACCAGTGAACATAGCTGAGAAATAAATGGTACATCTATGTCTGATAGAGTGAGCCAAAGTAAAGAGAAAGCAAATATAAAGATCATAGTTTTTTGCCAAAATGTTCACGTTTAGTCCCAGTGTCTCAGACTAGTGTTGCATTGTTTTACTTCATTTTGGTGTCTGACTTTCTCCTCAGGCCCTGCAAGTAAATGAGTTTAGAGACCTGTACTTCTGCAGTGGGAATAGCTCAAATATTACAACATCCATAGGAGATACCCCTGCTTGTTCTCCGGATACCTCGGAGTTTGGAGAAATGTAAGTCTTACCTTATCATTGGCCTCCTGTTTAAACAATAATGAATTGTCTGGGGGGAAGTTCCCATGACCATTACTTTGGAGCCACTGCGTTGATAGCCTCCTACAAGTACATCAGGGGTGAACACCAAGATTTAGGTGAGCAACTCTTCAGGACGGCACCTCAAGGGAGGACAAGGACCAATGGACGTAAGCTTATAAAGGGTAAATAAGATATAAGGAAGAATTTCTTTTCTGTAAGGGTCACCAGAATCTGGAACACACTCCCAGCAGAGGTGATGCAGTCGCCATCCTTGGAGGCGTTCAAGAGGAGGCTGGAGCCTTGTTGAGCTTGTCTGAGCCCAATAACTTCCTGCCCATGGCAGGGGACTGGACTTAATGATCTTACAAGTTCAAGTTCTACAGTTCTATGATTTCTCACAGTAAGCCAGTATTTTTATGAAAATGGCATAAACTACCATCCTGGATTTTAGAGGTTTATTCTGAGATATCACAGCTCCCCAATATAGGGCAGCAGGAAAAAAATAACTACTTCTCTTCTCTGAAATCAGTTTTGGGTATCTTGGACCAGGCTTGTCTTTGTAAAGGACTGTTTAACATACTGTTGAGATCCAGTCCCTCATTATAAGGTATCAGCAGCCAGAGAAACATTTGGAGGTTTTATACTCATGCTTATCTGAGAAGTGGAAAGGTGCCCAGCCCTCAGAGATGGTTTAGGAATATTGGCCATGTGTAGATGAAACAAGGGGGTTGTGTGCATGACACTTCAAAGCAGGCTAAATGCTTTTGCATTTTATACATACCATTTGAAAAGAAAAAAATGACACTTTGCTGAACTTAATTCCTATGGTTAACAATGAACCACGTTCAATGACCAGTGTTATGATTGGAGATCTTGTGCCCATGAGAACTGCTCCCGCCATCATATTTTCTTGTATCAGCTACTGGATGATTGGTAGCGGTAATGGTGTTGGTGTTTGCACGTCAACAGCGTATTGTGCATTCATTACAGCCATTGTAGGAAATTTGGTGGCATAATCCAAGGAGTTTTAATTTGCTGCCCCTATAGCCACGGAGTGAAGCACTGGGCTCTGTGTGGCCCAAGGGCTCTGCAGGAAGCCCTGCAGGCAGCCTGGCAGCAGCCTGGGAAGACGGGCTCTGCCCAAGAGAAGTGGTGAGCCAGATCTTTTTTTTTTTCTTCCCCGCCCTGGAGCCTGCCTGCCTGCCTGCCTGAGCTACGCAGGGCCCCAGTGCTTCCCCCAGGACCGCCTGAGCCAGGTGCCTGCGGAGGGGGCCACCTGGGCAGGGCTGTTGCTGCTGCGGAGGGAAACACCAAGCCACTTCCCCACAGCCCAGGGACTGCTCCACCCGCTGGCAGTTCGCCCTCCCCTCCCTGCCGCTGGAGAGGCAGGTAAATTTGGGTGTGTGCATGACACAAGGGATTAAGGGGTCCTAAATTGAAGTGGTGTTTTTAAAAACCCACCGTCAATTTAGGGCCCCCATTTTGTCTACACATGCACAAAGAAGTTATCTTGGCATGGCATATAGGAATGGGCTCTAAATCAGAGTTGAAATAATATGTTGCATGCCTGAATCTCTTTGACCTTCGTGGAAGTGGCACTGGGATGACACACGATGAAACCCTGGTAAGGGCAATCTAGAGGCTAGAGAAAATGGGAAGTGGAAGGTCCAGTGATAATCACTCCACTCTGTTGAACTGCTGTTTGGAGAAGCTGTCTAACCTCTGTGCAACATTGGTTTCCTTTTGTCAAGCACCTGAAGAGCTACGGCAGAACATATCAGCTATTACTGTTAAATGTTAACTTCTGTCCCATGTCCCCTGGCAGGTGTTATGGTGAAACATACCTGTGTAGCCAAGGAATTGCACCCACTAACTGGGCTATGTGGGGAAACATTGTGGCTCTGGTCTGCATGACTTCCATCTTCCTCCTGATAGCCTATGCAAAACTCCGGTTTATGAAGAAGTTTACCTAGCTTCACCTATTACCTTGATCTACCACTTACCTCAGGACTTTGACTTGCAAAGCATGTCAGTTTAAGGGATCTGAACCTGTAGTCACTGATACTCGTTAAGATTTCAATGGGCCTAGATGGGCATCAGATCAGAAGATTCCCAGTGACTTCAGCAAGCATCAGATCAGGCCTTAAGTGCTAAACAAGGCCACTTTTTTTCTTGAGACTGGTCCCCATGATGCAACTGTATGTGTATATATTCTGTTTTATTACTGTCTGTAGTTGAATTGTTGGCTCTGTTGTTTTTTTTAAGGAGCATTTAGAATACCGTGTTCTCTTGCATATGTATAACTTTGTATACTGCATATTGTGTACCTCATTATCAGGAATCCTGGTTTTCTCTGTTTAAAAATCACAAATTCTTTGATTAAAAACAAAAAACCCCAAATCCATGTTTTTCCACGATTTAAAATGAAATGCCACTATCTATATATAGGGATTTGCTGAACATAATGTTTTATTGATATATTTACCATTTTAAAGCAATTTGGAAGCCTACCACTGCCTCAATCATTATAATAAAATTAATTCTAATTTTTTTTTTTTTTTTTTTAATCATGGAAAATCAAAGCTCCCCCTGCTCCTTTCACTCACCAGGATGTGGGTCCAGCTGCAGCTGTCCCCACCACTGCTTTGTGGCACTAAGCAGGACTGATATGCCAATGTCCTGCCCCTGCCTGTGCCCATGCCCCTCACTCCTGACCTGCAGCCCCCGACTTGCTCCTTCCTGCACCAGGACATGAGTCTAACTGCAGCTGTCCTTTCTGCTGCTTTGTGGCTCTGAGCAGAGTCAACCCTGCTATTCTGCTCCCTGTGCCTGTGCCCAGACCCCAATGTTACCTGTCCCCATGTCCTTTCTGGGAAGACCTTGACTAGGGCTCAGGGAGCGGGCTAGACCTGTTTCTAGCTGGGCAAGCCCCTTCCCTTCCAGGCCAGCCTCCCCTTGCACAGGCTACTCTAGGCGGGTAAGGGGAGCTCAAGGCCCCGCTCTGGTGGCTGGTTCTACACAGAGCGTCCCCGCCCCCCGCATATATATATATATATATATATATAATCTTTCACTCCCGCAGCTACCCCAATCCCCCTCTTGTCCATCTCTGCATCCCCTGCTGCCACCTCCACCCCTCCCACTCTGGTCCATCACACTCCCCATTGAGTGGTTTCTGGGACGAGGAGCCTCCCCCTAGGCTGGGGCCACATATCCTGGGGCTGATGTGGGCACAGGGCCAGATAGCAGTGCAGTGGCTGCCTGTGTGGCTGTGGCTCCCACCAGCAGGTCCCATCCCATCTGGCAGCTGGGCTTACAGGGGCTGCAGTCTGGAGAGGCTGGCAGGAGCCAGGCTGAGGAGGATGGCATGTGGGCTGGCTACACCACTTCTTCCTTCCCTGCGCCCTGCTGTGCAGCGTGCCCGCAGCTGCCACTTCCAGCGCTAGCCCTGGCAGAGCCACCAGCAGCTTGCTGCTGCAGGCCGGTGGATGTGGCATGGCAGCATGGTGGGCAGCTGTTGCAGGAGCAAGGGATAGCTAACACTTGCCCTGGGCAGCACCCCCAGCCCTGCCCCAAGGGCAAACACTCCCTCCCACATGAGACACCACCACCACCCCAGCTGGGCAGTGCCCTCATCCTCAGCCCAAGCTGAGTGGGGACAAGCCACGGTGGGACAGGCCATGGTCAGGGACAAGGCAGCCCGCACCTGTCCTGGCCTTGGCCCTCAGTGCAGGGTAGTGTGATCACCGCCCATGCACCTCTGTCCTGCTGGCTCTCCCAGCAGGCCCCAGGCCCCCCCAGTAGCATGATCCTCCCCAACCCACAGGACCTTCCCCAGTCCTGCTGGAGGGGACCCACAGCTACCTCCCTGCCCCCAGGTCCCAGCCCCCAAAGCTCTACTTACCCCAAAGGCGTCAGGAGGGACACTGAGTCTGAGCCAGCCCAGGCTGACTCATATTCTCAGGCTGCACCCCTGCCTCCATCTGGACAGGGCTTAGGGTTTCCTGCCCTTTTGCTAGTAGCTCTTGTAGGCCAGACCCATCCATCCTGCAGAGAGCTGTTTGCAAAACGGGCCTGCTTCAAAGGGGAAAATACATGCTTTTCTCCTTTAAAAGGGAAAATCCATGTTTTTCCTGTGGGAAACGGAAAACTCAGACCCTGTTCATTATTCTGTGGTCAGTATCTGAACTCTCTCATGAAAATGAATTAAGCTGATGAATCAATGTGAAACAAGTTTCATTTTGTAAACTGCTGCATTAGCTGATTGCATGTGACAGGCAAATAATCCTTATAGGGCATGTCCCCACAAGCAGGAACATACATTCCCCGGGGACAAACACGTATTTGTGCTGCTACTGATTGTCCCTGGGGAACGCCCCTGCATGCACGCTCAGGCAAGCAGCAAGTTGCCCCAGGTGGGGTAGGGGAAGTTGGGGCCAGCACTTGGCCTGGTCCCAGCAGCCTTACCTGGGGTTGTGGGGGCATCCCTGAGGTCCAGCAGTGGCGATCAGGGCACGTGGAGCCTGGCCGGCAGCCAGAGCATGGCTATGACCAGCCAGGTCCAGTTTTACATAGTGCTTGCTGCTGCCACATGCACCACCCTGCTTTTTTCTGGTGTGGGTTTTTTGACGCCAGGATCAGTGCAGCAAATGGGTCTGTGGCACTGCAAACCACACATGAGCACTCATCTAGATGTGCCCACTAAAGGCCATCACTCCTAAGTAACAGCTGTTTTCTGTGCTGGCATCATGGGTTTTGAATTATGCCTACTGAATCAGTGTGAAGCCAGGACACATTCTTGTTTTGTGAGATACTTCAGGACTTGAGGTTTAAAAACACATTTGGAATTTTCTCACTTTGCAAATCTGGCACAGCATAGCTTGCACGTCTAGTGGCATCACAACATCAGAGCCTTTACCCAGAGCAAAATCAGTTCTCACTATCACAAAGTAAAGAACATCTGCATAGGACTCACCAGCCCCCAATAAAGAAGATCAGTTAGGTGCTGATGACCAATTACAGACTAATAGTCCATTACTACAGTGCTTCTCACAAGGTAGGCTTGCAGTCCTAAGGGGAGTATTTTGTAGAGCTTAAAATATAAGAATGGGAAATGTTTTCATTGTTTAACAATAAATGAATGTAATTCTATGCTTGTGTAAGTTGATATTATCCAATAGTTCCTCTACAGCAATACATAGATGTGGTGTTCTGAGGGTGTGGAGTGTTTTCTTGGGTGGTATCTTGTTGCCGTCACTTTTGATATATAAACTGCTGGGATCAATGTGTTCTGAAAGGCCAATGCTAGTAAGGAGTCTTCCAGAGGCAACAGAGAAAAAATGACTCAAATCTAGTGGCAAAAGCTCAGATTGTCCTCAGATATTATACCAGTTGTTCTGATTAATGATCAGCCCAACTAAGTGAATCTTGCCCTTGACAGGTAGAGACCATAAACAGTGGGGGAAAATATTATTTGGGTAGGGACTGAGCCCTGCCTGACCC